CTTCCTTCCTTCCTTCCTTCCTTCCTTCCTCCCTTCCTTTCTCTCTTTCTCTCTCTCTCTCTCTCTTTCTCTCTCTCTCTCTCTATATATATATATTGGTTTTTCAAGAAAGGATTTCTCTGTGTAGCCTTGGCTGTCCTGGACTTGCTTTGTAAACCAGGCTAGCTTCAAACTCACAGAGATCCACCTGCCTCTGCCTCCCTGAGTGCTGGGATTACAGGTGTACACCACCACACCCCACTATTCTTGGGTATTGCTGAGAGCTCTGGTCCTGGGCCTAGCCAACTCCCTCTTCAGACCTAGGAGGTGCAAAGTAGACAGAACCTGGCAATGCATTAAGTACAGCATTCTCAAGGCACAGTAAACATTACACATTAGCAAGACCATGCCCCTTACCGTCACTAACCCATTGTGGGTCTTGGTTTCACAGCCGGCTTTAAGTGCCACAACCCCCATGCCATTCCCCACTGGCTGTATTTGAGATGACTGCAGATACAACAACCAATCACAGGGGCAGATTTCAGGAATGACTCCAGTATTGTGTGTCCATCTGATACACTAGCAAAAACAACCCCTACGAGGACAACCCTCCCTTACATGGAAAATAAACCAGCCTCTGTGCTTCATCAAGATGACATGTTGTTTTTCCAACAAATACTTGCTGATACTAGACCCTTTCAAAGACCACAAGCTTTGACATGTATTAGATAGGCATTTGGACAGCCGATCTCAAAGGTACCTTTTAAATCTGAAATGCTTTAAATATTGAGTCCTATGTCTCATCCTCACCATTTTCTGCCATAAAGTCTTCATATTACATTTCCTTGGAAGTCAGTGGACATCCCTCTTAGAAAATGATGCACAGAACTGAAGCTCTCTGTGAAGAGAGCTGAAGCTTCTGGAAGGAAAGGAACTCACTCATAATTTCTCTGCTAGCCAGGCAAGCTCTTCCTGAGATCTCTTCAGAGCAGTAGAGAAATGACAAAAAAGAAGTATGTCTTTTTTTCAGGGAAATACAAAAATTACCTGGAAGCAGTGACTATAAAGAGCAGGTCATTTGTACCCAGGCTGCAATTCATGGTAGACACCCTGCCTCCCTGAGGCACACGTCTAAGTGGAGGGGGCAGGAAGATCCATGACTCTTGAGAAGTAAAGGCACAACAATCTCCTTTCTTACTGCGCTCAACGTACCATAAACAGCGGGTAGTGGCTCATTCATCACTCAGCCCTGATCAGTACACGAAGCAAGAGCAGCTCCTTAAATTTAACCTAAATAAAGACAAGGGCCTGTACTACGACAGCAGTGGCCTGCCACAAAAGAAATTCTTAAACCGGAGACCTCCCAGCCCGACATGCTTGTCCGTGCAGAATCAACACCTGTTCCCCACAATACTTCTGCATCTATAGTGTAATGCAAACAACAGGAAGAGCAGCGAGCTTTTTAAATGTTTGCCCTAAACCTACCATGGTAGTACACACACCTGTAATCTCAGAGCACAGGTAGCTGAGGCAGGAGGATTTTGAGTTCAAAGTCAGACTGGGCTACATACTTGCCTCGGAAGGAAGGAAGGAAGGAAGGAAGGAAGGAAGGAAGGAAGGAAGGA